GAGGGTGGGGGAAGGAGAAATGACACTAACCACTCATGTTAGTTGTTATCAAACCCAAGGAGTCTGCCTCCAGAAGGGGGAAAAAAGATTCTGTGTATGTTTAGATTTCTAGTGCACCAGTCACTCTTCATATCTAGAAGCTTAAGTCATTGATGGTGAAACATCAACATCAGTGTCAAGTTTGAAATTAACAGAGACTAAGGCCAATGAGAATGACTTAAATAAGTTCAGAATCAAACATCAAAAGCCATCACTGACCACAGCTAAAAAAATACTTAACCTGTGAGTGGAATAACAGCTTCAAAACATTATGGGATCAACGAAGCAAACGAAATCTGACACAAGCCCACTCACTGTACTTCAAATTTAGAAACTTTTTTTAAATATTAATGAGAGCGTTGTATTTGCACAGAGAAGACTCCCAGCAGAGCCACAGGTCCCAAATGTGGTAGGATGTATGGTTGTGTGATTTCCTGAAGGGCCACCATCATCTCAGGAGTTTGGCCACAAATCTCAAATGTCACTGACCTCTTTACAGCCCAGCACAAGCCCCTCCTGGTTCAAAAAGCAGAAAGTTCTTTGATGCTGACACTGAGAGAACACTAAGCTACCTATGAATGCCCTTCTCCAGGTGGCCTCTGCTCCACTAGGAGTAAGAACTTGATATACTTTATAGATGTTATTTTATTTATATCTGTGTAATATAGATTATCTAGATATTAAAACAGCAAAGTCTCCAAATAAATGCTTACAGCAACACCCCTGAGATTTCTGTATTCTTTGAAGGGAAGTACAATGTTTCAGCTTTAAAACCTCCCTTGCTTGGCACTGTTTGTAATGAAGTTTGACCGAGGCCTGGGATCTGTTTCCATCCTGCAAACACAGCAGATGAGCAACCACCCTGGGCTGTGCAGTGCTCCCAGCAGTGCTGCCACTGTGCTCAGCAAATCCACCTTGTGTTCTGCAGAGTCAAGACTATTTCCCCACTCGATGGGAGATTCTGCCTGTCTCTCACTTCTGTGTTTCTGTAACAGGCCCTTGCTTTGTTATTCTTATAAGCACCTTTATTTTCTTTAAAGAAATCTCTGATATTCTCTGCATCTCACCTAAACTTAGATTAGGGATGAGGACAGAGAGAGCTATAAAGAAAACTGAAAAGATAATGCCTTGGGAAACAGGCTGGTGATGTACATTACCAGTATACCATAAATCATTACAGAAAGATATGTACTCCAGCAGCTTATGTTTTAAATTAACACATGGTAAATAACATTGCAAGGCTTAGGTAATTCACAGCAACATCCAGATAACGATATTATTTATTAGTACTACTTCAGATGATATCAATCTTGTAGTTCCACATATTTTTAATGACATCTTTTCATATCTCTACTCCTTCAGTGGGCGATGGAGAAAACTGTATGTGCAGATCCATATAGCCATGAACTTCCAAAGGCAAACACAAGAACAGAACATTTCTAGGAGAGAGTGGCTTGCCAAGCCAAACAAGTTCTGCTAACATTTTAACACCACAGAGGGTCAGTTAGGTTATAATTAAGTCTAATTACCATCCTCATGAATTGCAACATCTTTTCACTTGAAGGCACTTAATACTCAGAAAAGGATGAAGTTTTACTCAATATTTTCCAAGAATCAAAGTAATGAAACATTCTAATCTTGGTTTTAAACCTGAATCATAAACCTGAATCACTTACCATCATAAAGAAAAAAGGCTAGTCATCATTAAAAGGAAGAGATTTGTGCAGTTTGTTCAACCACTAATAATTCCTGGCTCCTGCTGTTCCCTCTTCCCCTACACTAATTTTACACATTTTTTTTTCGCTGCTGTTCAGTACCACTCTTTTTTTTTCTTCATCATTCCACATAATTCTTTTTTCTTTCTTATAATTTTATAACCTTTCTGCTTCGCTTTTTGCTTTAAGCTCCCTATCTTTAATCCTCAGATATATCTCCAGATCTTCCTCTCTGCTCCCTCAGCAAGCTGGAGAATCTGACCATAGTAGACCTTCTTCTATTTCTTCAGGCATCCTGCGGTTGCTGCATTAGGCAGAACTGCACTGAGAAACCACCTGAGTGGTTTCTCATTGAAAGAAAACATGAAATAAAAAATGGTGAAGGAAAGAAATTTTTTCCCCCTTCCTTCTCCCACAGAAAGTGAGAGGGAAAAAACCCAGGAACTGTTTGGCTGCTTCTTGTCTGCCAGGAGACCAAAGCCTGGTGCAAGCTCACCCCGGTCTCGTTCAAATGGTAAAGCAGCTGGAAAGCCTGGGATACCAATGCCACCCAGCTCACGGGGAAAGCCCTTCAGCACCCTCAGGGCTAGCTGGGGGCTGCAGTTTTCTGGCTGGCATCAGCTCCTGTTGCATCCCATCTGCACAAGGGAAGAGCTTTGCTCTTCCTGCGAGGCATCCCTCTAAGCCAGCTCCACTGCTGCAGCACTGGTCTGAGGGCCGTGGGGCAGGGCAGTCCTGCCCCCTGCACACTGTGTGCCCTGCTCCTGCCCACCAGTGCTCTCCTCATTACCTCAGCTTGACCAAAAAGGTGAGGCATGTCTTTGGGGAAGTCACCTTGTGCCTCGGCGATGGGAAGAGCGCTGCCTGTGTGCTGCCTGCTGCTTCCAGTTCATTTTCTAAATGGAACACACAAGGCTATTGCAGAAACAGGGCTCTCTGACCACAAGGAGCCTCCGTGAAAATATGTTTTATTTCCTTCAAGTAAGATTTTGTTACCTGACCTTCCTGCTTGAAACAGAAATTTATTCTCCTGGTGAAGAATTCCACATACCAAAGATGATTCTGTGCTCTGAGCATATTACTGCCTCTTACAATGTGTATGACCTCCAAAAGAAGTTTCATTTTCCCTTGCATGCCAAAAGTCTAGATGTGTAGCAAAATGATCTTTCATTGAATGCTTTCTAACACTTTTCTTTTCAAGTTATCAAACAAAATTTCGCCAAAAGAAATTCAATATTTTCCTGCCATACATTAAAGCCATGACTGTGCTCTCACACTGTCAAAGGTCTCTTAATAACCAAACCTGACATTTTTATTTATCATATGGGACTTCAACTTCCACCTGTCCTACAGGACATTCACATGTCATCAGGGAATTAAGATGTCACTTCACCATATGTCATGTAAAGGTTTTTATTGTAGGTGGGGCAAAGCACAAATCCACAGCACCCATTTGTTTACTTCCCATTATAATTATATATTAATCGCTTCCATCCATAAGATTAACTTATCCTCCCACATATTATTCATGCCTGTAGCCCTACAAAAACATGTAGACTGAAATCCTTGACCCTCTGAAGTTGCTGGGGATTTTGCAATGGAGTTCCAGAGCTCAGACTGTAGTTTCCCTTCCCCAGCTAGTAGCTTACTCCTCCAATGAGTTCAAATCCATTTGTTTCATTTTCCAGTCTTGCTGGGTTGAAAAAATGTTTGAGGTGTAAAAAGAATATGCTGATTTTCTGTAATTTACAACAGTGCAAGATGGTCCTGGCACATCATAGGCTAGAATGGTGTTCATGGTTATGTTTGCTTGGCATTTCAGCAGCTTATTACTATGTCTATTAATTCTCCAAAACTGGAATTGTCTGTTGCTGAGATTATGCCTCACAACCAACTGCTGTACATATAGCCCTTGGACTCCGTGTATCACAAGACATTAGCAGGTTTACAGTTTCCAGGAAATTTGGTACAGATGAAGTGAAATTCTGGAGTCAAATTGGTTCAAATATTAGTTCAAACAGAGTTTCATACTCTCTCACCTAACAAGGCTAAAATCCATGCAGATAAGTGGAATATCAAGCAAAACCCCACAGCTTGTTCCTTTGCTTTCCAAACCTGAAATCCATTATCTAGAGATCCACCACTTACTAGCACACATACCAAAGTACAGTCTGAGCAGATGGTTCAAAGCTAACTGTCAATCCATTTGCAGTTCAAAACAGTGGTGAACGACTCCAGCTGTTTTCCAGATCAAAAATATTATTGTCATTTTGCTATCGCTGCGTGCTGAGGGTTATGTAACAAAAATGCACATGTCCCTCTGCCTGGAATGCCATTAATTTCCTCCCTCCCCACTGCGAGTGGTAAGTAACAATTCAGACAGTCTGGATGCTTCAATTTTGAGCACGGCCAGAGATGCAACCCTGGAATTACTCCACATGGTAACCCACTATTAGTAACACCCCAGTCTTCTGGAGGTCTTACAGAGAGGGTATATTTTTCAGTTTGGAGAAAAATAAACAGTATCGTCCTGTTTACACATGACTTCTTACTGTCTGTAGGGCACTATGAATGCTCTGCTGTAGTTCTTCAGCTTAACCATAGACTTTGCTTTATGCTGGAATGTTAAATATTCTAAATAAGTGTGCTAACTAGATGAAGTAATTGCCTCCAATCTGAAATCAGCCACTATAGTTGCTGTATATTTGGTATGCAAAAATAAGGCATTGTACACTATTAACTTTTAAATAGTGGCATAATCCCATCTTAATTTACAAATACCCAAACATCACGCAAGGGGTTAAATTCAGACTCCATAATGCTTAAGCACTTTGTGCAATTTGCTTATACAGAGAGAACAACTGGAGCTCCTTTGTTTAGGACAGTGCACTCAAGAAACAAAACTCATTTCCTCAGTGCAATCTCTTCTGCAATGTGCCTTTTATTCTTTTAAGTGCAGCTAACCCAGTGGTATTTATCTATCAGCTATAAGATCTTCAGGACAGAAGCTGTCTTTCTGTAAAATGTCTGCACCACATTTAACATCTCTCAGTTCTTCTCATGATAGAAACACAATGGGGTGATCAACTGTATGCTGGGTGTCAACTGAGATGAAACATTAACTTAGAGCTTAACTGCAGCAATTTCCTTTAATGTGTTATTGCTTGGTTCAGCTTGTTCTGGATTTCCAGCATGGTTTACAGCTTACTTCTGGGGGAGCACCTGCCATGGTTTTATCAGTCCTACCTGGTTAAATAGGCCAGAGCCAGCTCAGATCCCGATGGCTTTTTGGGCTCCACTTTTTTAGTGGATATTCCAGCTTCCCTCATCAGCTGTTTTTCCTTCTTCTTGCGTTCCTTTTTCAGTTTTCTTTCCAGCTTCCTCCTTTCCTCTGCAGTAAGTTCTTCCTCTTCTTTTGTTGCCTGAAATAGTCAACAATTAAATAAAGTGTTTATATTTCTACAGGAACAAAAGACGCATAAATGCAACTGAAGGGCACAGGTAACATTTCAAACCAGAAGCTTCAAGCTTCATAATTTTACTGTTGACTATACTTCCACCACCTCTCTGCTCTGCTCTGCTCAAGTGACAGAACTGTGAACACTGCACTCACAGAGATCTGTAGAACTGCCCTGTCTTTGAAGGTGGAGCATATAGAGACAAGTAGGAAGTCTGGAGGAGCCACCTAGGGCTACACCAGCTGCACGAGCACCTCACATCCCAAGGCTGGGGAGATAAAGGAGTCTAACAGCCACCAGCATTTCCAAATACAAGAATTACATTCACAGAGTGGACTTGGTTCAGATCCAGCAGCTTTACTATAGCATCATACTTGCCAAGTGAGGTCCTCTGCTAAAGCATCGGCAACCCATGGAGGCCAAACAAACTGAGTGCAAAAAAACACTCTTCCTCCACCCTCTGCTTCCTCCTCACCTGTACAAGGGACCCCAAACTGAAATCTGAACACACAAGATCAACTGCTTTATGGAAAAAAATGGTTAAAACCACTTTATAAACTGAAAAATCCCTGGTGTTGCATCAGTTTGTATTAGCTGAGTGCTTTCAAGCAAAAAAATCTGAACACAGTGCTAAATAACATTGCTCTTGCCAACTTTCAAGCTAAGGATGGTTAAACAAGACAATACCCACACACAACCTTATTTGCCAGAGACACCTGCTGAGGACTACTCATTTTGTTCAGCAGTAATTCATGTATCACCTAAGTTTACTCTGACTCATCTTTTCAACTCTCTGTTTTCAAAGGCTAAAAAAGAGCAAGAAAGCAGAAATTGGAATAAATGGGAGTGGGACAGTAAAATGGATTTGCTTTTTCTGTTTAACAAACTTTTTAGCTACTTTCATGGGAATGCCAACATTCATGTGCAAACAGATGCACAAAAGCAACACACGTTGCAGTTGTATAGAAGACATTTTATAAATCACGCTGAGAATAAAATAATATTTAGGGTGAAGGTAGGTATGTAATTGTTATACAGGAAACAACGTTTTCATTTGAAAAGCCACCCTGGTACTTACTAAAATAACAAACCAGCCACACAAAGCCCAGGAAAACACTGAGGGTGGTCATTTATAAAGTGTTTGTAAAAGATTACTACAGCAGCTGTCCAACAGACGACACACTACAGTTAATCTTCTTTTAAAAATAATGTAATGAATTTGTTTACTTTTCTGTGAGCCATGAAGCTTTCAAATAAAGTGACTGTGGCACATCATTAGAGCCAGTCTGATAAAGAGGCCTCTGCTTCTCCATACTTACAGTAAATGCATATCTCTGTACCTCCCCTTCCCCCTCACATTCCCTGCATTATCAAAAAGCTTTTTATCCCCCTCAGTTAAAACAAAACAAGCTGCTCCTCCCTGCAGGTCCCAGCGTAAACACCGAGCCCTAACCATGTTTGTTTCCAGCATCCCAACTGATGCACCGTGGGCTGCCTGAAACAAGAGCATTGTTCTCCCCGTGGGGCTGGGGCTGTCCTGGGCGTGAAAGAGTTGGGATTTACAGCTGGAGGGACCTTCTGCTACCCCACAGCATCACCCAAGGGAAATCGGATGGATCCAGCTTCTGCCTGGGACTCCCAAGCACAGGCACTGGGAAAGCACTCACAGCCTTACAGCTCAAACTACTTTCCTGGTTGTTTTACCCAGCCAAGCCAATTTGATTAATCTATGCACCACAATCTGTCCTTGACTGGGTTTTAATGTGAAAGCCTCAAGTTTTATGTGCTTCATAAAATACCTACATTTGGTGGTACACGCTCTACTGAAGCTGAGGGTAGTTTTATTGCAATTAAAATAATCCAACACAATCAAAAACGACCTTCCCCAAAACCTGGGATTTGAAAGAAAATAAAACCAAATTTTTCACTGGAATTTAAAGCCTAGATGTACTTATGATAAACTGGATGGTCTCTGTTAGGACACTCCACTGATGCATCTCACCTTTCTTTAGCTGAACAGCCATATTTTTTAATTTTGCTTTCAATGAACCATTAGTGTTCTTTTTCTGAAAGATGTGTCCAAAGTTTGTGAGCCATTCAGATTAAGACTTTTAGTATTATGTCATTATTTAAATTTAAAAAACCAAACCAAACCAAACCAACCAACAGGACTTCATTGTTGTGAGGTAATAAATATTCCACCTTGTCTCCTTCTATATTTATAAAGTGACATCACAATTTGTAGTGCTGCAATTTAGTCTTAACTACAAGATTGTAAAGTCCATATTTGAGCATGTGAGACACTTGTTTATTGACGCGATAAATTTAAAACACATGGATTCAGAAAAACACAACACTTGCTTATTTGCAAAGCCTGCTGAGAGCTACCACACCACCTTGGATTGTGGGCTCATTAGATCTCAATCTAAACAAGGTCAGGCTAGGTCAGTACACTTGAATGAATGACATTCAGATGAGAGCCAGTGTTTTCTGGTGATTAAGGAGGTGGGAGTCTTCCACTTGGAAACTTTCCAGAAGGCCTGAAAAGGTGCTAAAAGGGATATTGCCACTGGATGCCATATTTTGAGTAAAAGACAGGCCCCCAAATCTTTAACACTTGGGCTCATAAAAACCCAAGTCATCTCTGCCAGGGTATGGGGATGTGAGCTCTGACATCCTCAAGCAAATTCCCCAAGCTCAGACTACCATGTGCATGCAAAGTGCTGTGCCTGCCAAAGCAGTGACTTTCACCACTGCCAGTCTCTACATTTCTGAATTGTACACAAACACAGTAATATACTGTATCTAACAGTAACACTCTGTGTATAGGTTTTACATTATTCTTGGTAATCTGGAAATATCTCACAAATTTAAAACATTTTGGAAGTGATCTTTAGAAATTAGCTTACCCATCACAAAAAGGGAGCCATCTCTAACTCAGAGTGTTCAGCAAACTCAGAGTGTTCAGTAGCATAAAGCAGAACAGAGAAAAATAACTATGACTGCAAGACAAACCAGCAGAAAGATGTACCCAAAACAAGATTTCTGACCCCTCTTTTTGTCAGCAAGAGTGGCAAAACCAAGCAGGTGTAGTTTTACAGAGGCTGCATCTGCATAAAAGCTTCTACTGCCAGGGGAATATGAACTGTAATAGCTGGGAAACCAGTACTGAGATGGTATTAACAGCACACTAATTATGCTTCACCAGAGCAGTAAGTGCTTTTTAAAACTTGTTTCCAGATTTAATTACCCAAAAGTCCTTGACTGCCTCGTACTTGAATAGAGTTGAAGGCATCTTCTAAAGACTTCTGTTCCTCCTCCTCACTCATCACCGCTTCAAAGACTCCTACGTTTGTATCCCCAGTTGTCTGTTGCCAGCACAGAATAAGGTTGACGAGAGTCAGAACTCTGAAGAATTGCCATAATGAACCAAACACTTGTTTATTACAAATTTGCCTTTGGGATTTGCCTGTATAGGTCTGGACTTTCTGCCTGTTCAGGGATTTGGCTCTGCTGCCAAACCTACAGCAGCAACCACAGACGAGCCACAACTCCGAATTTACTACTTATTAGTATCAGTGAATCCAGCTCCTCCAAAAGTCAATGAACTTTTATCCTTTTCTACCAGCACAGCAACACAAGTCTGTACCACAGCAAAGCAACATCAGAAATTCAGAGCAACAAATTCTAGCTTGACCAATGGTGTCAAACACATAAAAAGGGTGTCAAATTTTCAAACTCCAAGGACAAAGATGGGGAAATGGATGATATGGCTTGTTGCATAGTAGGAGCATTGTACTGCCTTGTTTTTTCATTAAGCTCATGTTATTTCATAACTTTTAATACAGAGAAATGTCAAAAGGGGCTTTGTTCACTGACCAGGAGCTGCCGACCCGTCACGTAATGGCTTCTGCTTACAAGTAGCCTTTTGCCCCCAAAAAGCCCCACGCACAATATCAGCATGCAAAACGTTCTGTTTCTGTCTTACACAATATGTATGAACCCGGATAAATAAGTGGCCATCTGCCAGCTAAAAAACAAAAAGCAGGACCTAGAAACACATTTCAAAACCTCCAAAGAAAGGCTGGCAGATCCTTAGATGTAAGGTTCATGAAAGACAGATTGACAAATGATTTACTATCTGAGGCTTGCCGAAGAACTGTGATACAGCTATGGCTACAGAATTTGCATTAAATAGCTCATGGCCATATTGAATTTAAATAGCTATTTTCCATCATTTAGCAGCTAAGGAGAAGAACTATGCCCAGAGAGGTCGTATGAAATCTCATAACCATGCAGAAAGCAAATTCTGAATGAAAAGTAGTATTTGTAGAAGTATACCTTCTTACATCATGTCTGTAGCACTCAGAGGAAGATTTTTTAAAAATAATATACTGCTCAAAGGAAAAAAAAAATTTTTTTTTTTTTTCATAAAACCAAAGTGTTTCTAGAATCTCAACTCCTCACAAGAAAGAGGCTGGGAATAATTTAGATTAAGTTGATTTGGAAAGGTTTCTGTAGATGCAGCCCAGGCAGAAAAGCCTCAAACAAGTTCTGCAGGAAACCAGATTTAAATAAGAACAAGTTTTTTATCTTCCAGATCTAGGAAAAGATTCGGTGGTGGTGTAAATGTTTGAAGTGGCCTTGGGTACACAGCTATAGCATCTCATAAGCACAAGTCATCAGGCAGCACCCTAAATTCACAGCTGTAATTTAAGAATGGATGCACCTTTATTAGCTGGAAACCATGCTTAATTTACAGCTATCTGATCTTTACATGTCTCACAGATTTACAGCCAGTTCTGAGGAGCATAGAAAGTGTTATCATTAGGAACTGCTGAATAAGAAGAAACTGAACAATTTACTAAATTAAATGAAAGCATTTATAGGCACACCGAGCAATGATTTACAGAACCTAGCTTGTTGAATTCCACTTTATAGATTGTTTGCTCCTATAAAATACATACTGCAGCAGATTAAGTTCTAAGGCACAAATTACTACCATATTTTATTTCTCGTTTTTCCCTACCAGTATCACAGTCCTGAATACAACAGAAATATTTAAGACACCACCGCGACTGCAGCCTTGGGGAATGCAGTTGTGCTTCATTTGCAACTACAGCACTGCCAAGAATTTTCACATATTTGTTGAAGGTTTTTACTCACTCTCCTACCCTTAATTAAACCATGTTAACCAATCAGGAGAAGATGGGATAAAAAAAAGAAAAAAAAAAAGAAGGAAACCTTTTGGAAATCATTTGTATCCACATCCCTGTGGCTTACAGGCAGCCCTTTTAACCCCTCCCCAGAACGCAGAGAGGAATTTTAACAGACGGAGCACGGGACCGTCGCAGCACTTGGCATTTTCATCACCACCAGAGTGGTCCCCTTTAGGGGTGCTGACAGTTTCTCCTGAAGCTTAGAAAGGCTGGGGCTGGGAGAGGAGGTCGGAGCGGAGCACAGGCTGTTTTGAAACCCTTGCTGGAGAATTTAAAAAAATTAAAAAAAAAAAAAAAAAAAAAAAAAACCAACCCCAAACCACGAGCTCGATCTCCTCCAATGAAAGAGGTACCACAGGGTGTAGGCAGGTTGCCAGGCGAGCTCGGCAGCGTGACCGCACTGCATTGAGTTTCTTTAATGAAAGCCAGGAAAGAACACATTACACAGTGTTTCTTCTGAGAGCCAGCTAGCCTCCAGTGATTGAAATCAATAAAAACAGTCGGCAAGGGGCCCAGTGGGGGAAGAGAGAAACCTCCACTACAGCATTCAGTTTGCTTTCCACTTTCTCCCTCCCCCCGCTGAAGTTAAACTCTGAAGATCACCATGACAAGCTGCTTCGCTTCCAGCGCGGGGAAGACGCTGGTGGGGATTTAAAGGAAGCGAGGGCTCTCCCCGGCCGCCCTGCCTTCGCTCTGCCCCCAGCACGGGGGAGATGAAAGGCTCCTCAGGAATCTGAATCCCGCCTGGAAAAGCTGCATCGGACAAGTGCATCTTTCTGCGTTTCAGGAACGGGATGGATTTTACACTCGGGGAACGCTAAGAGGTGAGAGGGGGAAGAAAAGGAGGAACGGGACCCAGGCAGAGCCCGCGTGCAGAGTAGGATGTCCACCACGGCAGAGGGGACCTCCGAAGGGGCTGGGAGGACCGCCAGCAAGCGCCCGAGACCACAATCCACATCCTAGAGCAGCCGGAACGTTAGGGAGCACGTGACCGAGGCGCGGACCCAGGTAAGCAGAACCTGCCTTTAACAATTCCTACTGCGTCCAAAACTGGGACGAGACCTTTGCCTCAGCCTCTGCAGCTTGCCCCACGTCCTCCCTCATTAACCTCAGGCAAGTTAACGCTAAGCTGGTCGTGTCTGAAATTCACGTCGGGCCACTAATCCTCCCTGAACTAGAAAACATGCACAAAAGCCCTTTGTTTACTATTTTTGCATTGAATTTGGTCATTGACAAGGTAGGATGGGGCCGTTGTGTAAGCCCAGCCTCCCCAGGACCAGGTCCAGGAGGGCCTGCTCGGGGTAAGGCAACACCACCGACCCCGCACGCTGGAGCCGACTGTGATCTGAGGGAGTGCCAGTAATGAATTTCTAATGTGGTCCATATTTATCTATTTTATTTATGTATTTTAATCACCATAGCAGCCACATACAGTACATACTTGGAGCGCGTTCCACGTGCTGATCTGTACCATGAATTCCAGCCCCTCGTCTGCACGGGGGCTAGTCCAATTGTTTTGTTGAAAAGAACTTTGCCATTACATGTCAATACAGCCAAGGGGGATTTCTGGCACAGTGTTTAGGAATGACTGACATGGGCTTACCCAGCATGTGCACATTCTGCCATGATACTAATGTGAGTGGGTTTTATGCAGCTATCCCTATAAAATGGGAAAGACACAGATCACAGCCTTAGACAACAACATTCTTAAATTTCTGGCCAACTTCAGATGATTTATCTAGACTCCAGTGAGACATGAAAAGTGGAATCAAATCCTGCCTTTTGCAAGGCAAGCAAAAATGACGATATCTACATCTTTTTATCCAGCAGTGGCAGGAATTCACTGGAACAGATAATAAATAGGTGCCTGTGGAGCAGGAGCAACCATGCTTGGCCCCTCTGTGCTGGTCACCGTTAGATGTTGACAGCAACGTCGCACTCGCTGCCAGAGAGGCTCAATCCTTCCACTTCCACCCAGTGTTTTGGCACCTCATTATGGCAAACCCATAGGGTATGAAATCTGGGTGACTCTGATAAGTAGAGAGACTTCCCAGCATCTCCTCCGGTTCAGTACTAGCAGACAGAATGCAAGAATTTAGAACAGCAAGCATATATGTACTTCTGCAGGTGCAGTGTTGCTCTTTCTTTGGAACATGCAGCCTTTTAAGGGTGATTTTATTATTTTCACATTATGTGGAAATGGAAATGGCCCACACACTTGAAGAGTGACCTGACAAACACCTCCATGACAAATAGTAGGGGACTTTTATTTTGCATATAAGTTTAAGCCTTCTGAAAGCACAAACTGTTCTGATCAAGCTACAAAAATAGCTGAGGCAATATTTAAATAGTCAGAAGTTTTTACACTGATTTTATCAGTCCAGTTTCGAAATCTTCACACAAAACAGTCACAAAATTACAGCTGAAGACGTAATTAAAGAACAATGATTTACAATAATAAAGCAAAGTTGTGGTTCTAACAGAATACAGCCCCATATGAGTTTTTGGGGCATATCTACAGACCCACAATTCACCTTTTCAAAACCTGTTCCATGTTTTGCCTTCCTCTGCACAGATCCTTTGCAGAAATGACACCTTGATAGTTCAGGAATCACAGCAATCACTCCCACACCAATTGACAAGTCTGTTTTGCACTGCTCTTGGAGATGAATTTATCCTTATGCAGAGAAACTCATTGAAGCATTTACTTCAAACTTCAAACAAGGAAAGCTTAGGTGGGACCTCAGCAATGAATATCACTTGTATTGACATTCTCAAGCTCAAATGATATTCCTCGCCATTAATGCCTCAGTAGAAAAATGCAAATATTATCTTTAAAGCAGAGTGCAGGGTATTTTTCTTCAAGGTGATGCATTTTTTCAGAAGCTAAGTAGTATGAGTTTCCACACCATTTACTGTTAATGGAATGTTGTTCTTTTCAAATACACAACCTAGGAAAAAAGTATTCTCTCGTTCAGAAGATTTGACCCAATACAGATACTCGAGCAGTCATACAACAAGACAAGACTTGTCAAAGTTTTTTAGTCATGCCAATTTATCAAAGCAGATTCCCTAAACAGTGACTCCTTCAGAGTCTTCTTTGAGAGTAT